GGTACAGAGTAATATGTATAATGGAAAGTCTAGACATACCCGTCGTAGACATAATTCCATACGACAACTACTCTCGAATGGAGTTGTCTCTTTAGACTATGTAAGGTCTAAGGACAACTTTGCAGATCCGCTAACCAAAGGGTTAAGTTGAGTGTTAGTCGAAACGTCGTCAAAAGGAATGGAGTTGAGGCCTTTGGAAGTTACCGGAATGAAAACCCAACCTAGTTGACCGGAGATCCCAAGATCTAGGTTCAATGGGACAACCTAGTTGCGTGTAACGGTGGTATGTCACTGAGGAGGTTAAACCTCCAGCCATTCCTTCTATCAGTGATACCTGCAAGTGTAGAGGTTAAGCTGAGCTTTTAATGACTCTAGTGTGTTAAGCTGTTGAGCTGAGTATCGTAGGATACTCAAGTAGAGTCACCTATGTGAATGTGAAGTGGGGTCGCTTCTAGAAGAATTGGGCAAGCCAAGATTCTTTGAAACTACTCGTTAAACCAGGCTAGTGTCCAGGGCCACACAGGGCACACCAGTGAGAACAAAATGATGGTAGGAGTAATTCCCGTGTGAGATCTATTGTCTCAATTTATATAAACGGCAGAGCAGTTCAAGATGTCTTATTCACTGATCAGCCAGTAAACTCGATAGGTTTTCACTGGGAGAGGTTCAAAGCCAAAAGCTACCTTCTCTAATGTCGGGGTTAGTTCGTTGTACTCTCTCTTCGAGTCATTATTGCTGAACGATATCCGTTTGTTGAGTCTTTCGGTCAATTTTTATTCATGTGGGGGATTGTTGGAAAAAATGATTTTTGGTGACTTTAATTTAATATTAAAGTGTGGTGACTTTAATTAAATATTAAAGTGGGTTCCAACCTTTTATTGTGTTAGGTCCAAGTGAGCCAAAAACTACTGGGTTTTGAATAAGAAATTGCCAAGAAATTGCCTCATGATGTTAGATTCATGAATAGGATTTTAAAGAGTATTTAAATCCTTTTTCTTGGCTAAAGGGTGTGAATCCTTTGGGCATCCAAACTTTCATATTTTTTAAAAGGGGCTATGGATGCTTGGTGTTTTAATGACCAGCCTTAAAGGCCGGAGGCTCTTCTTCTCTCCCTTTTACATGTATAAATTGAGACCCTCCTATCAAGTTTCAATATAGAAATTTTTTGCTTCCATTTTACAAGTCAGTTTGCCAGAAAGTTCTTACATTGAGAGAGTGCTGCCACTGTTCTTGTTCACTAAGCTAGACAGAAAGTGCTTCTGCCGTAGCTGGTTTTGACCGATGTATCTTGGGAGACGGACGCCGGGTTTCCTCAAGCACTCGACCCGTGAGGCGGCGAAATCTGTTTTAAGGAAACTGCTTCCGTGCAGGCTTCGGTTTCGTCTCTTTACCCTTTTATTGTTTTGTGTATTTCTGTTGAAATTTAATTTTAATTATCAACATATGTTCTTGGTATATAATTTGATTTCTTCATAAATCTATTTATTTAATTTCACAATTTTGAACAACAGTTGTTTGTACCTTGACATGGTAGATTTGTTTGCATTTCAAGTTAGATCCCAAAACAAATTCTATTTCCTAATTTGATCTAACTTGGATTTCTATAAATAATTACAAAAGTAAATACCAAAATAAATATTGGTTTGTCTTGGAAATTGACAAATCTAACAAGAATAGGATTTTAGCACTAACAATTTTCTCAACAAAACATTTCTTTGTAATGTACAACTCAAGCATATTCACCAAAAACCCAAAATAATAATATACATTTTTTAAAAAAAAATTACAAAATTATAATAGACAATTAAAAAAAAAATACTTATATCAAATTCTCTTATTACCTTTCTAAGTCACTTGAGTTGGGTCTATATAATTTAAAAATCTCTCCACCTAATGTCAATTATTTTTTGATTGAAAGGGCTTTTGAATTATCTTGTGGACAACCACCACCCCTTACCACCATCACCTTCATCCTACCACCATCTTTGTCATCGGCACTACCACTTCCACCATCATTATTTCACTATACCACTACCACACACAGTAATTTTAGGGTCTCAACTAAACACATACCAGCGAAATATTTTCTTCCACGAGACATTCTTTGAAAATATGTTGTAAAAAAAAATAAATAAATAAATAAAATTTTGTTAGGCTAAGCTCCATGTTAAGATTTTAACTTAATAAATCTTGTTTTTATTTTATTGGACAATTTTGTCTCTTTTTTGACGTAAGGTATGTAATCGGTTCCAAATATGTTATTGGAAACTCGTTGAGAAGCTGAGCGATGAATACAGAGAATGATATGATTTTGTTTTGAGTGATTTTTCAGATATGAACATTGTTGTTTTTTCACTGTGTTTTGGTGAAATTGTTCTACTTTTTATGCATTTTGAACAATCATTTTGAGGAGCCAAATGATCAACTTTGAATTTGGAAGTGGTGCTTTGGTATGCGATTTGCTTAGTGTTTTTTTTTAGATGGGGTGGTTGTTGTGCGAGAGCACAACAATCACTATAGTACAGCCATATTGACTCATTTCGAATCTCATTTCGATAATTTAAATCGTTCATTTTTTAGAATATATCAAAGAAAACAAATCTGGAAAAAAATTAAGTTGATCAAATATCGTTAACTTTTTCATCGAATTATATTTGTATCTACAAAAATAAATGGCAAATGTGATTTAGAAAATTGAATACAAATGTAAGTCAATGAAAGAGTTAATGATGTTCGATCAATTTAATTTTTTGCATGTATATACTACTTAATGTACTCTAAAATGTGAATGGTTCAGATCATTGACAATAGACCCAAAATAGGCTCATATGACCGCACAATAGCAGTTGTGTGTCTCGTACAGTAGCCATCCCATTTCCTTTTTTTTATGATGTTGTGCGGCGATTGTACTAGTTATCAACAGTGGAGATCTTCGGATTGAATTTTGATAGATTCTAAATGATGTAATTATGGATTGTAGTTGTGGAGTTTTGTGTGTGATACAAGTTTTTGGTACGTGTTAATGGATTTATGTTTTGTTGTTATGTTTTAATATTGTGAACATTTGATGAGGATTGTTGATTGAATTAGATTTTTATAAAAAGTGATTTATGAGTAAATTACAGTAAATCTCCTTAAATTATCATTCAGTTGTACTTTGCTCTCCTAAACTTCAAACCCTTTTGAACTATTATTTTATTACAATCAACATCTTTTGTTAGAATTATTTTAGACTCAATTTGTTTAGAATAAAATAGATAAAAAGTAAAAGAAAGAGAAAAATTTAGGGCAAATTATATAAATAGTCCATGTAGTTTACACGATATGTCAATTTGGTCAATGTAATTTTAATTTACTCGATTTTGCCCCTTAATTTAACGGATTGTGTCATTTTAGTTCAATAAATAACGGTTGTTAAGTTAATTTAACGGAAAGTCAAACAATGTGTCAATTTGATCCCTATACTGTACACGATGTGTCAATTTGATCCTTGTTGTTATAATTTTCTTGTTTTGACAGGGACCAAATTGACACATTGTGGAAAATACAGAAACCAAATTAACATATTGTTTGACTTTCCGTTAAATTAACTTAATAACCGTTATTTATTGGACTAAAATAACACAATCCATTAAATTAAGGGACATAATCGAGCAAATTGAAACAACAGGGATCAAATTGACACATCATGTAAACTATAGGAACTATTTGCATAATTTTTCCAAAAATTTAACTTTTAAGAGTTTGTTTAGCTTGAAAGTGGTAGAAAGCATAATAAAACTAATTTTCTTATACAACACAGATTAGCGTTATAACTAATTTTTTATTTCTTGTAAAAAACACAAGAAAACACAAGAAAAATTGAATGTGTGAGTTATCTATAACTAAACTTTTAAATTTTTCTATAGTTTTCAAAAAAAAATTCATCTTTATCAAATGTTTGCAAGAAAATATATTTTCTTTTTTATTATTTCATTTTCTTTTACTTTCATTTTCTACCAAATTTTCTTTCTAATCAAACATAACCTTAGGGATTTAAACGGAATCAAATCATGTATGAAGCACATGACACACTTATTGATTTTTTAGGACAATTAGACCACTATTGATTTTTTTAGGACAATAATACTCTTATATGGTGATTTTATTTTGCACTTTGTCTCCCTTATCTTAGTGTCAAAATAAAAACGGGATCACTAGATAAATGTATTATTTCACTAAAACTTCAATAAATGTGTCATATGTTTTACACATGATCTGATTTTGTATAAATTTCTAACAGAATCCTAACAAAAAAGGTTAACTGTTACATGGTAATACTTTGAGCTGATTAACTATTGAGTTTTAAAATTTAGAGGAGCAAAATGCAAATGAATCGTAGGTGAAGGGGGTTTATTGTAATTTACTCGTGGTTTATTTATCTTATCTTGTTATTTTGGTGAAGACAATAGGTGCCATTGGTTTTGGTTAAGTAGCATTACTTGGTTATCCATTCAAAATCAAATTTTGAGTTTTCAATTGGTATATTTTTTTTTTTAGTGAATTTTTTTAATATTTTACTCAAAAAATTATTTATATGCATCAAATCTAATGTACTCAAAAAGTAAAATATTTGTGAACAGATTTTTTAAAAATTCAAAAAATACACAAAATACATATATATAAAATATATATATATATATATATAAGAGTACATTTTAATATTTGTAGCATCATTGAATTTTTTTAAAATCTCTTCACAAATATTTTACTTATTGAGTACATCTAGATTATATGCATCTAAAAAAATGATCAATATATTTTTTAAAAATTCACTAAAAATAAAAAAAAATACGAATTAAAAACTTAAAATTAGATTTTGAAAACTACGTAACCAAACAAAGTAGACTTTGTAATTGTTTTGTTGGGAACTAATAATTTGAAAAATCATACATGTACATCATAAATGTTTTGCTCCAAAAAAAAGTTAAACACAACCAAATGATTATAGCAAGTGAAACAAAATACACAACAAACTTCATTGAAACTACATTTCTCAAACTCAGTGACAAGAAATCAAAACATTACACTCAGGTGTATACGATTTCATCTCTACAACAAACATGTGGAATCCTAATTGGCAATATTTGCAGCTTTAGGTAATTGATACATTCTTAATGCAACAAAAATATCAATAATAACAAAATGGATCATCGGAATGGGAGCTGCGGTATGTCCCGCGAGTATAACTACACTGTCCAGTCCACAAATGTATACACTGGACAATCTGCCTCCCTATAAAAAAGGTTTATATAGCACTTAGAAAGGAAGTAGGATTAGGAGGCACTGGGATGTCTACGGTCCCTTCCAGCATCAGCATAACTTTCTTCATTAGAGGACGAAGTGATGGCTCATCCTGAATACACCAAAGCCCTACTTTAACCATTCTCTCTAATTTTCTCTTGTCAACCTCTTCATCACCCACTAGTTTACCAAGCTCATTGGCCTCAAAACAATCATAAACCCATTCTTGAAGGATAATTTCTTCCTCGGAAAGGCTCAACTCCAAACACTTGCGACAACATATGATCTCTAAAAGCATAACTCCAAAGCTATAAACATCAACTTTAACCGTTACTGGCAATTTCCGATGCCATTCAGGCGCGACATAACCCCTTGTTCCTCTAATCGCCGTGAAAGTGTTTGTTTGGTCTGGCTTCAAAAGCTTTGCCAAGCCAAAGTCAGAGATTTTGGCACGCCTATGCTCGTCCATAAGAATATTTTGGGGTTTTATATCACAATGAATGATTTGTGTCTCGCACTCTTCATGCAAGTAGAGTATCCCTCTGGCAACATCGAGAGCAATTCCAATCCTTTCTTGCCAACTTGGCCGGTTTTCGAGTGTGAAGATGAAATCTGCAAGTGATCCATTCCTCATGTACTCGTATACCAAAAGCCTATGAGGTCCCTCAAGGCAATAACCAATTAGGTGGACTAAGTTTCGATGATGGGTTCTCCCAATCACTTTTATTTCTGTCTGAAATTCTCTTTCGCCCTCTGTTAACACTTTATCTAGTCTCTTCACAGCTACATCCTTAGAGTTGTATGATATGATCCCTTTAAAAACAGTCCCAAATGCTCCTCTACCCAATTCCTCCTTGAATCCATTTGTAACTTGCTCTAACTCTGCCAAAGTAAAAGTTCGGAGAGCAACTTCCTCACCCAATTCAAGATTCCATTTTTCATCAACGATCTTTTTGTATGCCAAGAAGACATGATTTTTGTACACAAGGACTCCTGAAATTGCCAACACCATCAAGCCTAAGGCACTAAGTGAAATACCAATGATTAGGATGTCCACATGCAACTTTTTCTTTGCTTTCATGGGTGGATTATCTTGAGCTCCTGGAATAGCTTTCGTGATAGGTTCATCAGATGTACCCACCTTGATCAATGCAACGTTTGTATCGTCCAGATTTCTTTTTCCATATCTCAAAGGAAGCCTTTGTTTTTTGCATTGCCCGTCTTTGTATAGTGCGACTTCGCAATTGCAATCCTGAAGACAAACATCTTCACATTCCTGTCTAGAACTCAACTGTAGCGTGGAATATGAACTTTCGTCCCATACGGTGTTTTGCAATGCTGTTATGATGTTTCTAGTATTGCCATTGCCATCACCACCCGTCTTGTTGCAACTTTCTATAGTGAAATTTCTCACGCATCCGGAAGCCCAATTGCCTGGATTAACATAAGTGAATCCCGGAATACATTTACAATCAGCATTGGTATCCCGTAGAACACAGAACCCATTAAAGCCGCATTGACCTAAAGGATCGCACTTATTCATAGTAGAATTCCACCAAATCGACCATTTACCATTCGAATCCAACGTATGTGAATAAGCTCTGACAATTCCGTCCACGTCAAGTCTCACCATATAAATCTTAGCTTCCTTTGTAGGTGGTTCTGCATCAGTTACATTGTGTATATTATTGCCTGTTGCATTGAGAATGTAGAGATGGCCATCAACGTCTAGATTCAATGTGCAATTATCTCCACTTCCAGTAGTGCCTGATTGCCAGTAAACATATTGCAACGCTATTCCAGACTGCGGAAGCGAGACGAGGTTCCCATCCGGTAGCAGCCCGAAACGATAATTTCCCGTGGAGTGGTCAGTTTCTGAAACACTGGAAATCAAGTCGGGTACTGACAACAAAATCTGGCCTGGCAAAAGGGTATCTGTTGCAGAATCAAAGCTCTGCCAGATTATCTTGTGATTAGAATCATAGAGTACAAAGTTGCCCGAGTCGAGCATGGAAGCTGAAGATGCAGGTTGGGTAATACCAGCGATGGAAATGTTTTGGGTTTGCGGTTGCTGCAGAATGAGGCTTCCTTCACTGGTTAAGGCCAAGGTTGCATTGCCTGGGACCGGAGGGTTGCCGCGATTGGCTGTCCAAACTACGGTCTTTTCTGGAATTCCAACAATGAAGACTCCTACAAGATAGCCATTGCGTTCCGGGTAGAATCCGAAGGCATAGAGACGGGAGGGTGACAACCATGAGGGGTTGGTGATGGGGGTTAGAGAGGAACCCAGGCTTATATTTGAGTGTTTTTGTGTTTGTTGTTGAGCTTGTACTCTAACTGTTTGAAACAATGGTGCAAAGAGAATTATGAGGAAGATTATGGTAGTAGCATTAGCCATGGAAGCGAACAAAAGCTCTCTGCTGCTACTTAATTATTATAATTAGTATTGTGGCTCAACTGCTTTTTGATTTGAAGTTCTTGATTTGAAGTTCTTGTTGGAACCAGTCTTGTCTGCAATAAATTTACCAACAAGACTTGGACCAAATGAATGATGACCAGCGAAAAGTTTTGTGGCTACAAATTCGTAACCCCTAATAAGCTTAAACTTTCAACTAGAGTTTTTATTCCTCGCACACGAATTGAAAAATTGTGTTTCACTTAAATGGCTGCTCAGTCAATGGGGAAATTATAAAAAATAAAAATAAAGAATGATGATGACCAGTGAAAGTCTTGTGGCTATGAATTTGGGGAAATTATTTAATACTCCCGGAGCACCACGTGTCCATACTCCAAACTAATCAACAATTAGTTAGCCTCATGTTGTCCCCCATGTCCAACATAAATCGTGGGCCCCTTGTGCCTCTCCACCAATCAAAATCTTATGGAGCACCACGTGTCCATACTCCGGGAGTACTGAATAATCACCCATGAATTTGTCCAATAAGCAAAAATGTTTGCTCAATCAACGTGGAAATTATAAAAATAAAAATAAATAATGACACCGGTAATAAAATAAGTATTGAGTTTTTAATTTTGTTAATTTAAATTTTAATCTTTTAATTTAAGTATTTCTCTATTTTCGTTAAGTAAAATTAATTTAAAAAATTATTTAATCATTAAATTCAATGTAAGTGTATATAAAATGTTTAGAATATCTTTTTTCGTTGAATTTAATGACTAAAATATTATTTTTCAATCAGTTTTACTTAACAAAAATAGACAAATAGTCTAAATTGAAAATAAATTAAAAGATTAAGGTTTAAATTAATAATAAAATTAAAAATTAAAAATTTATTTTGTTGCAAGAGTCAAACTTTAAATTATTTTTTTTTATAATCTCTCCAAAATCAATTGTTGTACTTGGAAAAATGATTTGCAAATTGTAGAACATCCAAACAAAGTCAAGTTTCAACAGTCAAATTGTACATAACACTTCTTCCATGAAAAGAGAGTTCAAAATCGTGTAATTTATTTTTTACAAAGGACCTAACACTTCTTTTGTGGAAAGAGAGTCTGAAACCGTGTGATTTATTTCTTACAAAGCATCATCATTTTGCTTCCAAAAATTTCTACTCTAGAAGATCCGGACGCGTATTAAAATCAAAATAAATCTTGTGTTAATTAGTCCAGGCCATAGCCAAAATTATTTTGTTTCTTCACTTCTTGTTTCATCAATTTGTACACCCTCATATGATGTTGCTTGTACCTTGACATAGTAGATTTGTTTGTGTTTCAAGTTAGATCCCAAAACAAATTCCATTTCCTAATTTAATTTAACTTGAATTTCTAAAAATAATTACAGAAGTAATACCAAAATAAATAAGTTGTGTCTAAGAAATTGACAAATCTAACCAGAATAGAGCACATTTTAATCTTTTAATTTAAGTATTTGTCTATTTTCGTTAAGTAAAATTAATTTAAAAAACTATTTAATCATTAAATTCAATGTAAGTGTATATAAAATGTTTAGAATATCTTTTTTCGTTGAATTTAATGACTAAAATATTATTTTTCAATCAGTTTTACTTAACAAAAATAGACAAATAGTCTAAATTGAAAATAAATTAAAAGATTAAGGTTTAAATTAATAATAAAATTAAAAATTAAAAATTTATTTTGTTGCAAGAGTCAAACATTAAATTATTTTTTTTTTATAATCTCTCCAAAATCAATTGCTGTACTTGGAAAAATGATTTGCAAATTGTAAAACATCCAAACAAGTCAAGTTTCAACATTCAAATTGTACATAACACTTCTTCCATGGAAAAGAGAGTTCAAAATCGTGTGATTTATTTTTTACAAAGCACCTAACACTTCTTTTGTGGAAAGAGAGTCTGAAACCGTGTGATTTATTTCTTACAAAGCATCATCATTTTGCTTCCAAAAATTTCTACTCTAGAAGATCCGGACGCGTATTAAAATCAAAATAAATCTTGTGTTAATTAGTCCAGGCCATAGCCAAAATTATTTTGTTTCTTCACTTCTTGTTTCATCAATTTGTACACCCTCATATGATGTTGCTTGTACCTTGACATAGTAGATTTGTTTGTGTTTCAAGTTAGATCCCAAAACAAATTCCATTTCCTAATTTAATTTAACTTGAATTTCTAAAAATAATTACAGAAGTGATACCAAAATAAATAAGTTGTGTCTAAGAAATTGACAAATCTAACCAGAATAGAGCACTAACAATCTTCTCGACGAAACAGTTCTTTCTTTGTACTTTCTTACGTTTCTTTCTTTGTACTTTCTTTGTAATGTAAGACCCAACGACTCAAGCATATTCACTAAACAACAATGATTCATCCCCCTTTTCCTCCCACCCCCTTTGATCCCCTCTCTCTCTCTCATTGGTTACATTTTCTTTTTCTTTTTCTTTTTCTTTTTTTTCCTGCTCCTCCAATTACCACCCGCCACGTTGCAAAGGGGGTGAGGGGGTGACCCCCAAAAGGGGGTCCCAAGCATTATTCTTCACTAAAAACCCAAAATTATAATAGGCAAATTTTAAAAAATAAAAAAAAAATACAAAATTACTTTTACCAAACTCTCATTTCGCTTTTCCAAGCTCAGTCCTCTTTTGACAAAGAGAATAAAAGAAAATTTTTAACCTTTTAACTTTTTTACATCATACCATCTCTTTATTTTTTAAGAAATTTAGCCAAAATTCTTTCATTGGACCCTTGTTTGGTGAAAACGATAGTTCAATTCATTTTACTTCATAAACTCTCGAAGGAAAAAACACATAATTAAGGATAAAATAAAATATTTTCTTTTTTTTTCTTGAACAATATTGCCAAAATAAAATAACATGTTATTGTCAAAAAAAATAACATGTTACTGTGAGACAAAGTATTATGTTACTATTACTGTTTACATCAATTTCGACAATAATAATATATATATATATTTTTTAAAGAATTTCATAATTAACATAGATCTTGTTTGATAGATCTTGATAAAAGAATTCTAAAAATACTAATTTTATTTAAAACTAACATCTACATCAAAAGTTATATTATTTTAAAATTTAATATTTTAATAGTAACTATATGTGTTAGACTTTTTAACAAAAAAAACTGTTTGTACTTATCCTTAATAGACTAAAATTTTATTATGAAGAGATTTTGACCAAATCTCCCTTATTTTTCTACACATTTTTTCAAAAAAAAACTCCAAAAAAAAATCAAAAAATCAACTTTAACCCACTTTCCAAAACAAGCCATAATTTAAAAATCTCTGCACCTAATTTCAATTACTTTTGGATTGAAAAGGCTTTTGAATTATCTCATGGACAACCACCACCCCTTACCACCATCATCCCTATCCTACCACCATCGTTGCTGGTGCTGCTACCACCCCCACCCCCACCCCCACCACCATTGCTTCCACCACCACTCATTTGAAAATAATATAAATGCATGTAATGCAATTCCCATTAATTTGAAAGGTTTAAGTAATTATTTTCATATGGCAAAATGATCATGTGCACATGATTTATACCACAAAAAAGTACAGTGAAATTTGCTCCCAAAACAAAAAAGCACTTTCTAAGTCAAATTCAGTCATAATAAAAAGGAAATTTGAATCTTGCAGTTTCACACTGAAATAACTAAATAGCTATCCCATGAATATAATGTATGGTAGCTCTTCTATTCAACTCAAAACATGTAAATAAATAATCATCATCCTAATTTTTTCCATAATTACTTCAGCCACAAGAGATTGAAGAAATTGAAGAGACTACTTGGAAATTGTACAACAGCAGGAAGGAAAAAAAGACCATTCCCAAAAAATAAATAAAAGAGAGACAAATTGTATATGAATGAACTGTGGCGACTTATGCATAATTTGGTTCATTAAGCAAAATTTTTCACAATCTCCATAAGAGATCACCTTTTCTTCTGAACAATTCATGATCTGTATAGCTGAGCAAGGTCCTCAGAGAATGCTTTCCTAATAGTGTCCCTCTTGATCTTAAGTGCAGCGGTGACTAGGCCAGATTCGGGAGTCCACGGTTCAGAGAGCAATTTGATCTTTGTGGGGATCTCAAACTTCTCCAGACGTGCCTGCTTCGCTGCCTGTGCAATGAGGAAAAAAGGAAGAAAAAAATAAATGAAAAATAATAATTCAAGAAAAAGATAAAGCTACCAAGACAACTAAATTTCTTCAAGATAAAGCTATTGTTTGGGAATACATTTTGGTTGGTGTGCCTTGATGCACACAATACAACAGTAAATGGATAAATAACCAATACATCCAAATTGATATTACTATTCAGATCATGGATTTCCAAAGGGAAGATTTGCGAAGGGCAAAGAAAAGCAATGGGATTTGTGGGGAAAAAAAATATTTATTTATGTTCCTTTCACTTTTCTCTTTATCTCCTCAAATCCCTTCACAAAGCCAAGATCCAAACAGGTTAGATGTCCTGCGGCTTAATTGAACCAGATTTCTCTCCCATTCCTTCTTGAAGTTAGCAGGAAAGAAGAAAGAGTAACGCTATAATGACCATCTATTTCTACCATCATCTCTTACCATATGATGTGTCAGCCTAGTTATCAGCACAAGAGATTACACACTAGTAGTGGAACACGCTAGGCCAAATATGTGTTGAAAGTAAGATGGTAAGCATAACATGGTATATGTGGGCATTATTAAAGAAGGAAGTGAAAGAGTTCAATTCAGTGATGAGCCAAAGAAGAAGGCAAGTTGAGTGAAGGGCCAGGGAAGAGTAAGGCAACCTACTAGACTCAACTGGCCTTTTGAAAAAAATATGACGTGTAACTGTGAAAACAAATTTTAGGAAAAGATCGATTGAAGTACAAGCATTTGGCTATTCCAGAACAGTCATCAATGGGGTCATGACTTTCTGTTACAATGAAGAGTTAAATTTCGACTATACGAGCCACGGCCATAAAAGCAGGGTAATTTGCCAAAAAAATGAGCTGCTTTGCCACAAAAAATGAATTCTAAAACTGCCTCGTTGCTTGATATTAACTTAGTTGATCATTTTCAAAATAGCAAAATCATTAAGTAGATTAACCTTGACCAAAAAATGTCCAAAAATCGTGAAAAAAAATAGTTATCTGATTACCTTCACGAGTGACCCATGCACTTCCTTCACAGTTTCTTCCTTTTGGCACAAATCCGCAAAATCAACAAAAGCAATTCCTTGCTTCAAAGCCCAGCCTTCCACTGTGGGCTGTGAAGCTAACACAAGAGCCACACAGTAACTACGGAAAGAGTCAGCATGCAACATAATATTGTCAACATAAGGGCTGATCATTAGGGCAGCCTCAACCTGCACACGAAACATCAGTCTCCAATGAAAACCTTGTTAAAAAAAAGAAAAAGAAAAAAAGGAATCACATCATTTTAAAGCATTCATACCTTTCCCAAGGAGACATATTCTCCATGCTGAAGTTTAACAATGTCCTTTTTACGGTCTATTATCTCAAGGCAACCATCAGAATGGAACTGCCCTACGTCACCCGTGTAAAACCACCTCATTCCTCTCTCATCAACCTTTTTGCAACAAAATATTGACACAGTTCATTGACCCCATCAAACAATTTTTCTCTCATAGGTAGTGTTAAACAAGACAAAATGAGTAAGAAATTTTAGTATTCTACCTTGTACACTTCCTTTGTTTTCGCCTCATTCTTAAAATATCCAACTGTAACATTTGGGCCCCCAATAACTATTTCCCCTCGAGACATCGGTGAATCACTTGTTAAATATCCACCCTCACGCCAATCTATCAACTGAAATGCAGAAGATGTTGAGTTAATGACCAAGAATCAATATATCCGTTGAACATAGTAACCACAACTAGACCATCATTCTTGAGAAGGTAGTATCCAAAGTATACTACACAAGAGACGGCGTATGCTAAGTGTGAGAACCTAAAAAGCTCTGTAGGTTGGTCTCTCTTTTTATGCGTCCGATGATGTCAAAGACATCTGGGGTCCTAATTTGAAATAAAATTTCATAATTACGGACAATTTGAAGACACTTGGGGACATCCTACAACATGGTCTATGTGGTAAATCTTTTAAGAGAAGCAACATCCAACATTCTTGGATATCCAGCTCACTCCCCAAATGTGTCTTGAAACATTTTTAAAATCAGATATCATATATATGACCAGTACAAGGTGAATTATGTAATGGACACTTTAATATAGGAAAAAATAAAAATGTCAAATAATAAAAGTTGCAAGAAAGCAAAAAATAGTGGTATGCATTATTTGTGGAGCTTCATTTTACACATTTTGCAATTGTAAATACAATTTGTTATATTATATCAGGTAACACTTCAAAATTTACTAATATCGATACAAAACAGATTGAATCAATTTCATTTCAAAGGGAACAGTAATCACCGATTGGAATTCCTTCCAATCACCAGTGCTTTATTTGGTTCAGAATGAAGTGAATGGATTCCATCAAAATATTTGTTCTCATATTTGGTTCACTTAAAAAATGATGGAAAATGCATTGCAAATGGAACCATCATTCACCAATATAAGGCAATGATCATTTCATACAAAAATAAGGAATGACAATTCCATTTCGCTCCAGCTCATTCCAGTGAACCAAACACTATCTAAGAGTTCCAATCAAAACATTGAGGTACCTTAATAAACGAGCAAGGAAGTGGAGCACCAACACGGCCAACAGATGAATCATCATACTCTGAAAATGTCCCACCAGCACAAGTCTCAGTAAGACCATACCCTTGACCTATTGGAGCACTGGAAATAAGATCCAGATAGAAGGCAAGATAAGAATACAAATCCACAAGGGAAAAAAGAAAAAAAAAATGTCATATCTTACAAGAGGAAGAGTATCAGATCATATTACCCAAATTTTAGTATAACATATCACATGGGTCAAGTAAATGAACTTGCATGAAATTATCACAAAATTATTAAACGCCTTTAAAAGTTGAGCTATAAAAGCTACAAAGAGTAAAAAGATCAACCAAAATATGTGAATCCATACTAACCCCATACAAATGTTGATAAATCTTTGAGTATCACCAGATAGTGGAGCACCTCCAGACAGCACAAAACGGATGTGACCACCCAAAATTGCTCGGACCTTTCTAAACACAAGAAAGTTCCACAAAAGTCTTTCTAGGCCCCATGCCCCAAACCAACTGCCATTCATCGCAGACAACCGGCGTGCATAGGCCAAATCAAACAATTTCTTTGATAGTCCACCAGTTGTATCTACCTGAAAGTTTTAGTAAAACACACTACTTGTGTAAATCACTTTGTTTACAAAAAAAAAAAAAAAATTGGAAGGAAAGAGAACGTAAAATATAAAAGATAGTACATGCATACGTACACAAGCAAATATACATATGTATGTGAAAGAAAAATTCAACCAACCTTCTTCCGCACACCATCTCGAACACGGTCAAGAATTGCTGGGACAGCTGTCATCAACGTAGGCCTTAACATAGAAGCATCCCCTTTTGTTCCCCTCTTTATCTTGCTGGATGTATCAGTAAGTGTCAAAGGGGAACCATATCCTATAGAACTACCAACAGCGGATATTACATTCTGCAAAATAAAAATGAAATTGTCAAAATAGTGCACAGAACCAAGTCTTCAGCACCAAATCTGACAATTCCTCATCAAACTAGTTCAGCTACAGAGACCAACAAGTCTAAAAGATTCAACAAACCTCAGCTACTAATTCAAGTATATGAGCCAAAGGTAGGTATGCTAAATAAACATCCTTGTCTCCAAGGCCGGGAACAATTGTCATAACAGCAGAAATTGTAGCGAGAACATTTCCATGTGTCATCATTACACCCTGCATGAAGTGGAAGTCATATTGATGATTCAGGCTTCAGTAAGCATTTAATAAGATATTCAAAAACAAAAGAATAATGCAAACAATAATTTCGAAAAGTTAAACGCTGATTTAGGAGAACATGAAACAAAGAAGAGAATTGAAGTTGTAAAGTTTTTACCAGATGCCTCAAAATTATTTCTGTAAGCATGTCATATTGACATATTCAAATACAATAAGAAACGGTCTTCAATATATCACAGATAACAAATGTGGAAAAATGTCTATAGCTTCGGACCGCTTATCCTACTGACAGTTACAATCAGCAAATCCCCCAGGCTACCTCTTAGATAATTAAATTTTCGTAGCCGAAGCCCCTAAGATATGCATCACAGCATACTGGGGAAAAGGCTGATGCAATGAATAACATAAGACGAACAATCTAACATGAATGATATGATCTGAAAGAAATGGATCTTCAACCAACCTTGGGTAAACCAGTGCTCCCACTGGTATACATGATCACAGCTATGTCAGCTGAAAGAGGTAAATCTGCATCAACAGGATTCTCTCGCCCAAGTTTCTCTACATCAGAAAATGAAGTGATTGTCCAGCTACTGCTCCTCTCAATTAATAAGTCATTCGATGGAATCTCATCATCCATGCAGATAATACGTTTTACTGTGTCGAGTTGCCCACTAATGCCTAAAATTTTCTTCATTTCTTTGTGCCCACAGATCACTGTTGTGACTTCTGTCTGGAGAACAAGTTAAATTTGAAGTGAGAAAATATGTTGCCATGAGTCTGTAACAAGGAAATAATTTTTGAATGCATGCAAAACTAAAAGATTTTATAAAAATAAAAAGATAAAGAAAAGGAACTGAATTAATTAATTAACAATGCAGTAAGAACGGATGTACAAGTGGGATGACAAGGATGCGATCAATTTAAGATGACCAAAGGAAAATTTTAAAGCTAACCGATTAGCCTTCACTTGCCAATTTCGAACATGGAAACATATTGATATTGTGCAATTACTCTTGTCTAAAGCTCCACTAAAGTAAAGTCGAAGTTGTCTCAAGTTTCAACCATACAAACATTGGTTCCCATATGAAATTCAAGATTTTTCAATAAAAATGTGAGTGTCGAATTAGAAGAGTAGAAGAATTCAAGCAGAAAAATGTGAAAACAAAAAATTTATGGATCAAAAGGTCAATAGATTTATTGAGCGTGTTCTGCATTCAATGGAGGCAAGCCTGGTTCACTTAAAACTTAGAGACACATTTAAGAAGAAGCCACTTTTAAGTGGTACAAAACAGTGCATGATTTAAATGCACTTATCTAGGAACCACTTCAATTTTTTCCATTTTCAAGATCAACACATACCAGAGTTATTAAACAGACTATAAGGCCATCTTTGTTACCAAGGTCATAATATCCACATGGCAAGAATGCAGAAAACAAGAACATGAGTTTCTTCCTAGCCATTCAATTTAGGAAATAGTGAATTGCATGTCCAAATTTAATTTAGCATAGTTCAAACCAAACACAACTACTTTCTGATTACTCATAAGTATAGGTATTGATTATTTTCATACTAAACAATCAGTTGAATTCTAAAGTTTTCACACAAAAAATTCTACAACTTTTTAACATTTTAGAAACCAAACTAATTTCAACATCTTCCTTCTTATGAACCTTAAAATCTTTCTTCTGGCTCATTAAACTTTAACCCTAATAGCTCTTTTCCTAACCCACCACAAAACCAATCGTAGGCTGCTTGAGTTTCCAAAAGTGGTCCCACACCAATTCACTTTTATTTCTTATTAAAAGGGTACAATCCTACAACATAAGGTATAACCGCAATTTTTTTTGAAGTAGTGGCAGTTGAAGCAGAACAACAACAAAAACAAAAACAAAAACAAAAACAAAATTAACATAACTTTAATTAATAACAGTGGTGAGGTGATAGTACATTAGCAATGGCAGTAGCCAGCAGGTATAACTTGCTACATAGAACTAACAACTTCAAGAAGTAGCGGCCTATGAAGCATGGACACTCCAAAATCAATGCCGCGGCGGTGTCCGACACGGGGACACGGGGACACGCCGTTTAATTTAATGATTTTTTTGTAGGGGACATGGCCGGGATACGGCGGCGACACGCATGTCCATATGGGGACACGGTATGGGACACAGCAGGGACACGGCAAGGCTATTTTTTTTTTTTTTTTAATCTTTTGTCTCTCTTATTTAGTGCTTTGTGAAAAATATTGGTGGATGTTGAATGTTTTTCCCTTCTCGTCTTAGTTCTTGTTATCGTTTATTATAACTGTTTTGTGAATTTTTTGTGAATGGATAATCTATTAATTTGTTTAAATGTAATGGTTATGTTTATTCAATTAATATTACTACGTTAGTGTTTGTTAATTTTAATTTAGGATGAATGTAATATGAATCTACATAACACACAAAAATATATAAAATAAATAAAATAAAATTTGCCATGTCCCCCGCGTGTCCGTGTCCGTGTCCCTATTTTTTGAAAATTGCCGTGTCCCGTGTCCGTGTCCGTGTCCGTGCTTCATAGGTAGCAGCAGCAGGAACAACAAATATAACACCAACTTAGCAGCAATAGTTGTGCAATGGGGTGCAAATTTGTAGATCACATTTCAACCACAGTTACTGCAGAATCAAATTGGCTCACTATTTTCTTGTGGTTATGAAACCTTTTATATCTAAAATTCTGTAATTCTTGTCAGATTTGATGATCCAATGGTATTTGGAATTTTGGATGTTAAGGCCAAGTTTGGCATACACAAAATAATCCATCTTTTTATCTTTTTTCCACCATATCACCTCTCTACTTTTCCGCACATCTTTTTACCTTTTCAATTCACAATGGCATGGTTTAAGTTGGAAATTAATACAGGCTTCCCTACAAAATAATTACTCCCAGAAATGTGTTGTCAGCGCACTCAATCAAGTTCCTGTGAAAAATTCCACTGTTTCCCCAATAAGTACACAAAGAACCAGTTATTATTTTCGGCATTGTCTCCATAAGGTTCTTGCAGTTGATTGCACAACTAGTAATATAAATCTGAAAATGACAAATAACATGCAATACAAAATATGAGCACACACAAAGCTTGCTTATATGTATGAAGAGACAGAGAGAGAGAGACCTCATTTAATGAGTGACATAGAGCCTCCTCCCCCAAAGAAGCGTACATGGTAACAACAGTGACATTGCGCCTGAAGCAACCCTGATACAACAACCCACATTTACCATTCCATAAAAAAGTCATTAGCAGACATAGAATTTGCATAATAATTAGAGAAAAGAAAACAAGACGGCTTAAGATGTAACTCAATTGCACTATCTCTAAGAAATAATACTGCAGAAGAAAGGCAGTAAACTAGAATCAAATCAAAACTTACAATAGACTCAGTTATCACTTCTAATAACAATTGGATCAACAAAAAAACCATGACCTGAATAAGAAAGTGGTGTGTTTTAATGCACCAAGACAATAAGATGAGCACCTGCAGAGCAATAAACCACTCTTCTCGTGTATCAGCAAAGATTGCTACCCGTTCTTCCCTATTATTCCCAAGTTGTGTCAAACCAGAAGCAAAATTGCACACAGCTTCAAACACTTGGCCATAGCTTAACCACTCATAATCCCCCAAATGAAGCTTCTCAAAGGACCTTCCATCTTCAGACTTTTCTGTCTCCCTTGCAATCAATCTTCGAGTTCCAAGTAACCTCTTGTTTCGGTGCTGCTTACATGATTGCTCAAAAAGCTCTGCTAGTGTTGAGATACCTTCCCATGCTGTTATCACTGGGGAAGTAAAACGATAGTTTCGAATTGCATACCCGGGTTCACCACCAACATCAACGGGCAACCCTCGTTTCTTCTCATTCTTGGAATTCCGAATCAAAAGAGTAAATACAAGAGGAACAAGAACGCCTACAAGATAAGGACTCATTTTCCAATAACTGTGCAGCCCCTGCAGAACCAACCAATTTGAATCTAGCAAAACAAAATTATAACCATTAAGTCTATTAATGCATATGATATGTTTACCAGAGAAAAGTAATGTCTCAAATATATATATATATATATATTAGGAAAAGAAAAACTAAAAATAGACTACAAAATGCAAATGCAAGTGCCATTCACTTGCAAAAATCAACAAGGAATGGTTCAAATATAAAAGATGCCTCTTAATACAATAAAATTAGAATCATCACTGTAAAATAAACAGGAAAATGACTCCTATATAAATACATTTTGGTAAAATCAAATTGGCTACTAATATAATATCTAATCAGACAGTTGACTTTCATATAAAATTCAAATTGTTTTGTATTAATGTGCTCAATTTTTAGGAAACATATAGACTCAACAATCATTGGAAAGTACTGAAGTTATATGTTGAACCTTCCAAAGCAAACAAACTAAAGGCATGTTTGACACCAGAACTAAGTGCTAAAAAAATGTACACATTTAGTGGTGTGATAACACCTACAACTCAAATCTGAAATTTCACTAAAAAAAAGGGGACTTAAATTTAATTCATAGACATTCAACTTATCCTAAATGTCAAACATGCTTGGTTTTAAATTTAAATCTTAATTGAAATTTTTTTTGTTTTTTTTTCAAAATCCAGTACTTCAGAACCAATACTTCAATACTAGTTTTTTAGTTTTCTCAAAAAGCAGCCCTAAGACATTGCCAATACTGCCGCATAGTAAATCATGTTTTGGAAAATCAAGTAGTTCATTCCATGTCTCATGAAAAAAAAATATATTACAAAATGTATTATACCATTCCACAGATTCGTCGAATAGTATCCTTAAAACATCATTAAAACAGATTTGTTTGAAACATAAGTTAATTAAAATTAGATAATTAAAGAGAGTGTTGTGATGGGTGGGCCTGGCGTAGCAGTAAAGCTACCCCTTGGTGACCTGGTGGTCACGGATTCTAGTCACGGAAACAATCTCTCCGTTTGCGGGGATAAGGCTGCGTACATCAACCCTTCCCCAGACCTCGCTTAAGCGGGAGCTTCGTGCACTGGGTATGCCCTTTAAAGAGAGTGTCATATTGTATGAAGCATTTGCCACCGTAATTATTCAATGTGGTACTATAATCATGATGTTTAATATCAGATTTAAGATTACTCAGACGTGTAAAGCTAGTCTATCTTTAGGAAATCCACTCCACTCAAAATTCAATGAATGTATCTCAAATGTTATACAAAACAAAAACAGAGTCAACATCTCTCACAAGATGATCACTAGTGATGACCCCAGAAGACAATCCCTCCAGCAAAATGTCAACTTAAAAAAGGTTTAACACACCATGCCCAACATTTGATAGGAAGCAACTCCAGCAAGGTTAGTCAAAATAGCTAATATGGAGATGCAGTTATATATCAGACGGTACTAGCCAATAAATATTGATGAATAAGGGTATCGGAAGTCGAAATCCTGATATTTAAAACCCTGTGACACAGTATGAAAAAGCAGATATCATTTGGAGAGAAGCACATAAATGAACTCCTTATACAATCTCACACTCGTTCACCATTACAAGATCATCCCATCAGTGCACAATGGCATGCAGGGACACAGACTTCACTAATATAAATGCATTCAAGTGCAGCTTCCGGCAAGCTGAAAGATAATCAGAAAACCAGAAAGGACAAAAGCATCATTTCCAATAATCATTTTTTTCTGCTTAACAAAAAGTTACATCAAACATTTTCGAATAAATTCCCAAAATTTAAAACACAGACACACACACCCCATAAACTGCACCAAACAGGCCATAATCTAAAGCACTAGACCCATTTACAAAAACACATATCTTCTTGTATTGAAATTCAAGCACAATGAACTCTACATATACATTAGTACAGGACTGAATTCAATGGCCTAACTACAAGGAAAACATAAACAGAGCAACAATAGTCAACTAAAAGACCAAACTAGTAAATAATAAAATGACAAAAGAATCAAAACCCAGAAAAACCCATTTCCAAAAATTGATAAATAGTCAAAAAAACAAAAATACATACCTTCAAATTCTGATTTCACAAAACAAGTTTCTGAAAACAAAAACAAAATTCAGATGATCAGCATTACCAGAGCCCAAACAATGGGCTGTAAACTAGGGCTTTTTCAGAGATCAGAGAAGTTCATGGAGAACCCAGAGATCGAAGAACAAGGTGTTAAATAGGAGTTTGGCTGGGCGGAGAGATCGAGGGTAGAGCAGTTGAAGTCTCCGAAGTAAACTAATTTTCGGCGTTTTTTGTTAGTATTTTATTTTTGTGTTCTGATTCTGAATGTAAATATAAATGAGTTTCAAAATTACTGAAAATGATGACTTGTTTTGTTGGGGGGCCATACACGTGGATTTTTTAGGTTTAAATTGGTGCGAAATCTGAACCGTTCAATCGTATGATGGAGAGAGCTGGATGTGGTGCATGAGGTCCATACGTCTTCGTGAATGATATACTTTAAATTTTTTAAAAAAAAGAAAAAAAAAAGAAAATGTTTGTGAGCCGTTCTTACAAATCTATTCATAATAATGTATTAGGATATATATTAATTTTTAATTTATTACACATTTAATAATAGAGGATTCAACTTGTTTGCCACGTTATTACAGATGAATTTATAAATATAAATGTACGAGTCACTAACAATATTCAAAAAAAATCAATTAAATCATAATTTTTTAATTATTCAATTTAAATTTTAAATTTTTTAAATGATATTAATTTCAACCATTTGTTAGGAGTTATTTGGAAAGTGTTAGATTAGTATACTTTTTATATATATAAAAAAATATGTGAAATGTAGGTTAGGGTTAATGTGATAGAGAGATGATATGACCTAAATAAGATGATTGTAACTCAAATAAAATAATGTGTTAAAATAATATATACTATTTTAACACATACTAAACAAATAATTATATAACTAGAACATAGGCAATTAGATAATTTAATCACTTTTTGTCTATAGTGATGAATGACAGCATGGTTATGAATTGGCGAAGAAAAGAGATGGATTGTAGTGAATTGAGGAATGGAAGGAGTAGCGATGGATGGAAAAAATAGATTGAGTGATAACAGTCGATTAGAGAAAAATGAGAGGTGATGCTTGACAATGGTAAATGTGAGAATTGACTATCAATAGTAATTAAGGGAAAATAAAAATAATTAAATTATCTAAATTATTCATTTTTCATTAGTTACAACTAAGCGATGCAAGTGGATGGTTATAATGATATCATTTAAAAAATTGTGGGAATTACTTGGCAGTGGGAGATAGAAAAAAAAAAAAAAATTATAAAGACATAACAGTGCAAGTAAATTTGTGGTGGGGTGTAAGTAAAAATCTGTGGGGGTGTGAGTCTCACTTTCATCCCATCGTATTTATGTATTTTCTTTTTCACTATTTAATTGTTAAGTAATTTTTCCTAAAAAATTTAAGATTTAAATTTAAATAATTAAAAAAATTAGCTTGAAGTCAGCATAAACAAAGAATATGTGAATGCTATTGTTAAAAAAATATCACTGTTGAAATCGAAATTTTGAGTGGATCACTTCATACATAATTGTGTAAGAGGCCTATAAATTGCTTCTCTGTTGTTATTTGTTATTTTAAGGTAACAAAATAATAAAAAATAATTAACTAGAAAGTTTGTCAATCGTAATAAAAGAAAGATGAACCCTAAGAATATTAGTGAAATTTTACTATGTTAATGGAAAATGGACTTTTGATTCTTGTTTGACTAGAAAATGAAATTGATTACACGAAAGTATGATTTTGATTTAATATTAAGAAAATAATGAAGAATTTTTATGTGTGTTTTCATATTTGCTATATATAGTTATATTTATTAACAATAAAATTCTAATTATGAGAGATGCCGTCTTGATCCTCTCTTTTTTATTTCGAACGCGAAAAAGGAATGTTTTATGGGATATCATTAGGATTGTGTGACGCCCCAAATTTTTCGAACATAAATCTCAAGGGAAATTATATAAACAAAATGACTTAATAAACTAAAAAGTTGACATCTTAATAGGGTAATCCAATTCTCGTACATAACCAAACGCCCAAATAACAATAGATAAAAACTTAAAATTATCCAAATACAACATCAAATGAAATTACAAAGTCCTTAATATCTATTATATAACATAATATAATTTACTCGGCTCTACTCGGGGTTTCAGGTCAGCCAAGGCTCTACGTTAGCGTCGACTCCATTTCAGCTTCAATTATTTTCTCGCCAAGACCTGGCATAAAACGCCAGGGCAACAAAAATATATGCCATGAGTTTTACAACACAGTAAGAAAACATAACCAACCCACCATTCCTTTTAAGAGAAAAATTAATGAGATTATAAACATGAGATGACAATATAATTGTAAGCATAAATTACAACCATTAAAATAATTTCAATAATTTTAATAAATTAAGTGACACTCGAAATCTCACCAAATGCATATGTCTTCGTGAATGATATACTTTAAATTTTAAAAAAAAAAAAGAAAAAAAAAAAGAAAATGTTTGTGAGCCGTTCTTACAAATCTATTCATAATAATGTATCAGGATATATATTAATTTTTAATTTATTACACATTTAATAATAGAGGATTCAACTCATTGGTCACGTTATTATAGATGAATTTATAAATATAAATGTACGAGTCACTAACAATATTCAAAAAAAATCAATTAAATCATAATTTTTTAATTATTCAATATAAATTTTAAATTTTTTAAATGATATTAATTTCAACCATTTGTTAGGAATTATTTGAAAAGTGTTAGATTAGTATACTTTTTGACTTTTTATATAAAAAAAATATATATGTGAAATGTGGGTTGGGGTTAATGTGATAGAGAGATGATATGACCTAAATAAGATGATTGTAACCCAAATAAAATAATGTGTTAAAATAATATATACTATTTTAGCACATACTAAACAAACAATTATATAACTAGAACATAGGCAATTAGATAATTTAATCACTTTTTGTCAATAGTGATGAATGACAGCATGGTTATGAATTGGCGAAGAAAAGAGATGGATTGTAGTGAATTGAGGAATGGAAGGAATAGCGATGGATGGGAAAAATAGATTGAGTGATAACAGTTGATTGGAGAAAAATGAGAGGTGATGCTTGACAATGGTAAATGTGAGAATTGGCTATCAATAGTAATTAAGGGAAAATAAAAATAATTAAATTATCTAAATTATTCATTTTTCATTAGTTACAACTAAGCGATGCAAGTGGATGGTTATAATGATATCATTTAAAAAATTGGGAGAATTACTTGGCAGTGGGAGATAGAAAAAAAAAATTATAAAGACATAAGGGTACAAGTAAATTTTGTAGGACAATCTTCACTGTATTTAAAAGATTTAATTCTATTGTGTACAAAACAACAACTAGAATTTAAAGAAATAAAAAAAAATGAGAGAATTTGTTTGATTACAAAAATCAAACTCGAAATAATAAATAAATAAATAAAAACAGATTTTATTTTGTTACAAAAAATAAAATTAAAATCTGATTTAAATAAATAACAATAACACAAAAATTAATTAAATAACTTACTTGATTTAATTTCTTCGAATTATAATCTGATCAAGTCCAGTGTTTGACACTGTGTCCTTAAGACAGATTCGTCCTCTCCACGGTGCTTTCAGAATGTGGACGTCTATCTCTCAGGATAAAATGATTTACTACAAACAATAGCAGCACTACAAATTGTTTGTCTAACGAACACACAAAGTATTTATACTTTCTCTGACAAGAAAATAATGCAGCAAAATGAAGAGGATGTTTGCAGAATTATGAAGGACGAAAATTAGTGTTCTTAAATATCCAAATGAGGGTTGTCCTATTTATAGATGGAATGGTGGCGCCAGGTTTTTGAATTGAACAGGTATGATACTTGTTGATTTTGAATTCAAACAGATTTAAATCTGTTGGGTTACAATTCAAACAGATAACAAAAACGGAAAGGGCTTTGTTTGGGTGTACAGTAAATCCGGATCAGATTATTTCCGATTTAATACGGGAAGGACCCTGCTTGGATGTACAGAAAAACCAAACCAGTTTAATTTGAATTTTGGATTTTATTTTACCAAAAATAAAATTAAATTCAAATGTTTTTTGCCCAAAAAGATTAGTATTGGGCCGAACAAGCCCAACCCAACCTCACACCACGCACCCGCGCCCAGGCCCAGCCTGTCCGACTGGGCGGACGGCGACGGCCGCCTGCGTGTAGTGATTTTTGGGTCCAATGGGTCTAGCCCATTTTGCCTATAACCTCTCCCTCTAAAACACTTGGGTACCCCTTGGGGCACACCCCAAGTATCTCACCCTAAGCCTTATGAACCCTTTCAAAACTTCCCACCAAATCAATGTGGGACAAGCCAATTTACCACCTTAAGGAATTTCCACCAAAACTCTATTTCCATGGAGCACACTTTGGCTTCAATTTCCCATTCACTCGGTAATGGTTTTGAGCAACCAAATATACAACGTGAATCACAACGCGGCATAGAACGCGTTACCATTTTGACTCGTGAAAATCGACGCACGGGGCCCACCTAAAAAATAGACCGAACTTAGGATAAAATTCTAGTTTTACCCAGAAATTATAACCATTTCCAACAATCCCCCACATGAATGGAATTTGATGCCAACGGAAATGCAACAATATGCAGATTTATCGAAAGAGTATAAGTCAAAAATATCTTGCATCAGGATAGGTAGTTTTCGGCCTTGAACCTTCCTTAGTGATAACCTATCGGACTTACTGGCTAACCAATGGACGCGATGCCTTGAATTGTTCAGCCGTTTGTGTAAGCCAAGACAATAGATTTCACACAAAATATCTTCTAACACATCGTGGTTCTCACTGTTGTGTTCATTTTGGCCTTGAACGCGCCTGGTTTTCATAAGTGTTTCTAGAGAATTTAGCCTCTTCATTCTCATAGAACCGGCCCCAGTTCAACACTCATATAGGTGATTCTTATTGTGAGTATCTCCTTATACTCGTCTTGATTTTATGCCTTAATCAAGATATAATTAATCATTAAAAGCAAAGCTTATCCTTATACCCATGCAGACAACATATGTTGCAGATATCACTCTCGCCATAAGAATGGGTAGGAATTTTAATCCCTTGGTGATTTCTGGCGAGCCATACATAACTTAGTTGTCCCTTTGAACTTAGTTCTTGGGATCTCCAGTCATATAAGTAGGGTTACCATTATGACGACTCTT